TTGCCGGCTGGGTTTGAACCACGACAATCAGAAAGGAGAAATCAAAGCAAGACTTTTACTATAAAGCTCTACAGTTAAGCAAAAGAAATGCTTGTTTTGTACTACTCTTAAAAAAGAAAGATAATTTATGGATTAATAAATCTAAGTGCAACAAGCTCAAGAGAAAGCTACCAAAACTGACAGGTAAGAGGCAGCTAGAAATTAAAGAAGAAATATAGCTATACTGTTAACTTCATTTCAACACAGTATTCACAGTATTTCAATATAGTAGCTTATTTTCTGCCCCAGCCTTAGTGGTTTGATTTCTGAATCATTGTAGTAATTTAATAAGAAAGCTAGTTTCACTAATGGAAATTGAAGGTTAATTCTACCAGACCATTCTACAGACGGCAGTATTTAGGAAGCTGGAGGCTCATGTCTGCACATAAAAATTTAATTTTAAAATGAGTTTATAGCAATTATTTTTATTAGATATCAACAGTTTACAAATTTAAATTGAGAAATAAAGTTACAGAATGGAATTATCTTGTGCTCATTCTTGGTTGTGATTTTGTTTTTCTTTAAGGTCATAATAATTTTTCTACAGGATGTCATCAACAAAAAATTCTAGACTGTCTAAAACACAGCCCCACTATTTCCGCATTCAATATTTCATAATTTATCAAAAATCTATGTTTGTGCTAAACATTTTAAACAAGTATTTAATTAACTACTCTATTGGGCCCTTTATATATTTCAATTTTTTTGTTCAATTTGTACACAATACAGATTTTTAAAAAGCACTTAAGGATTCTATATTGCAATTTTTTGTAACTTTCAAAACTAGGAATAAATAGATGGTTCCCATAACAAGATGAAATCCATTATTCAATATACCACGTGTCTTGTCTTCTCCATACTTCTCATCTAAGGATACAATTTTCTAGCAGGAATATTATTTTAAAACAATTAATTCCCCATTGTTTTAATGCACATCAGTTTATGACTGCAAAAGCTTCTACTTCCTGATAAGCACAGGTTTAACTTAATTCTGTATTTTGCAACAGTCTATGAAATACCACCTCAGCATGTACTTCATTTACATTTTCTTCTCCACAGCTCGTAAGAGTCGGAAGATAAGCTGTGTCTGGTAAGGATGAAACTGCACTGAGGTTTCTACTAGGAAGCCTCATTTCCAATGTATGCATTCATCCTTCTTTCTCATTCCTGCCTCACAGCCGAAACTAGTAATAAAATACAGCTTCCAACATCTAACATTAAGGTTGCTAACAAATGTAAGACTGTAAAGGAGGGGATATCAAAAAAGTACATGCAATGTAACAAGTTGCTGCAAGGCTTTTGCTCCATAAAGAGGAAACAGGAGTAGGAAGAGGCTGAGCCAGAAAGCTGCATAAGGAAAAAAATATGCTGGAACAAGTAAAAACATCAACAGTCTTAAGGCAACCTTCACTCCAATCAGCAGTGTGATTATTTGTATATCTGAAGAGAAATCCTTCTTTAGTGTACCTAATTATGTCGATACAAAAGATGTTACGAACCATATCGATCCTAGAAAAGTAAAAAAATCAGACAGACATGAGTATGTTTTTGCTGAAAGAAATCAGTTTTAATTGATATTTGTAAATAAAGCTTAGTTTCATTCTTAAAGGTTTTAAGAAATTTTACCAGCGCTTCCAAGAACTGTAGTTTATGGTTAAACTCCAGGGTAAATAGCTTGATTTTCAAACACTCAGGAGCTCCCACTGACCTAATCTAGGAAAGGCAAACTAACTGGGAGCATGAAGCATGCTTTACACTATTGAGACCAGGATGTCTTAATTTTGTGCACAAATACGGATCAAAGGTGTTACTGTCAAGTCAATTAAAGAGCTAATACCAGAGTCGGGCCAGATGATCGCTGTAGGACCCTTCCAACTTAACTATTCTGTTCTGAGTTATGAACTATTATTACTTTAAAAATTAAGTGACAGCAAATAAATCCATTATGGAATTTCTGTTTCAGTTGTAAGAAAAGAAATAAAGTATATTAGGAAAAGGCAAAAAAGTTATACTACAGCTACAGATTTATTTTTAAAAAGATCTACTGTCTACCATGACAGGTCTACAAAGCTCAAAGCCAAATCCATTCTTTTCTCCCCAAAGGTAATTCAATGGCAGCATCCATGATACTAAATCCTATAAAAAGACTTTAACAGATGGTTAATATATAGTAAATATTTTTACTAACCTGTATTGATGTCATGACCCCATTAGCAAGTACAGAAAGTTTTCCAGCCACTGATTTCACACCTTGTTTAAACTGAGCTATATCAGGAGCTGAAGGCAAGACATTTGTAATATTGTAGTTTCCTAAAAGAACAAGCACACAAGAAGAAAACAGAATTTTATATTAAAAGCAGACTTTCCTCCCCCGGAAGTACAAGATACTACTAGGAGCACTAAATACCAATGTCTGATTGACACTGTAAAAACCACTAAGCACACATCTCAAATTTCTTAAATGGGTCTCAATTTTTTTCAGTTGTTTATAATTTCACCCAAAGTTTCATCTTCTACACTCTGTATTCCCAGCTAAGCAATTAAAGTTTGGATAATGTATAATTTATTCCACACTTTCAATCTGCTGCAATGTTAATTTGTCTGGTATCCTGAACAGATTTATTACCTTGCAATTTAAATATGAATGCACTTCCATGGTTATGTGCATGCACAGTTATGCTTTGCCTGCTGTATAAACACACATTTTGCATTATTACATCTGAGGCTTGGAGAGTTCTATAGAAATTATAGTAGAGGTAAATAAGTTTTAAAACTCCAAGGCAAAGCTGGCAATGCAGTCTTCCTTAAAGCCAACATAACATGACCACTGTTAGCTCTACTATTATGAAAAGTATAGGCCTGAAGATAGTTTTGAAACATCTTCAAGTTCTATTAACTGTGTAAGTATTAACATGCTAACAACTACAATCATCCAGTCATTTGCAAAAAGAATTACTGGCAGCCCTTAATATTAAATACCTGATATTGTAAAAAGCACAAATGTCAGTAAACCAGCATCACAGGCCATGATCTTGGGAAGAAATGGGGTTCCTGAGGAGCATCATCCCATAACAGACCTGTATCGAAATGAAGACTGCAATCTGTAGCCTTCATTTAAGACACATAGCCAACAGACAGTCATGACCAGTAAGGACACAACTAGTAACTTGCAAGCAGTTACTGAGCCTTGGACAAGCTTGTCCAGCCTCAGACTCCCCAACCTGTACAACTGTAACTATTTGACAGCAGGTCCATAGGGCACATTGCTGCACATGGGCTGCACGTTCTCCCTTTGTTTTGAACA